ACAAACCTACTTGTTTTCTTGGCAGATCATGGTATGTATGGTTTTTAGCAAATAAATTAAGACATAGAAGAATATAACAGAAAATTACATACACACAGGCCAAAAAAAATTGTCTATGAGTAGAACCAGCTAATAGATGGAGCAGACTAATAATTCAAAGTATTATGAATAGGATACAGGAAACAATGGCATATACACAAGCAAAAAAAAGTGTCCATGAGTATTCCCAGATAGTAGATTTAGCAGACTAATAAGTAAAAATATTACAAATATGTTGTTCATAGGGTCTCTATGAGTCATACTCAACTCAAAATCACACAACAACAAAACATACTAGGCAACTAAAACAATATTTCCCATGCTTTTGAAAAGAAGGAATTAACACAATAAGGAAAGAGAACAGAAGGAATGCTTCAAAATATCAAAGTTAAGATAGAAATTCCCCAAGGATACGTCTTCATATTGCAAAATACGAAAAAGTATACTGTTTGTTCTTGCAATGCTCATTACCTAGGGAACACTTTCTCTCAGGACTTCTGTGCCTAGATATCTGTGGCTCATAAAAAGGCAGGAAGAATTTTAGGAAGGAGGGGAAAATGAGCATTTTGAAGAACAGCTTATTTTGCAATCCCAGCATGAATTAAGACTTCAACATGTTTCTATTTGTAATCACTTGATTGTACACTTGAAAAGTGAAAAGTTTTTTATGTGTGGATCTGAAAACTGTATCAGGTAAGAGAATGAAATAGGAATCAGAAAGTGAATTTTTCTATCTTTTCTATCTATTGGTAAGTGACTAGTGCTTATTAAAGACAACTGCACAGAATTTAAACAGATTTCCTACTATTTGAAATAGTAATAAATTTCCTAATTTATAGTGCTTGTGCTTTATAAACATTCTCTATTTCCTGCATTTTGTGGCCTTTCTCAATCCAACATGCCTAATTCTCTACACATTCTCCAAAGCAAGTCAGTAATCTCTAAACACCAATATTGCAGTGAAATAACTAATTTAGAACATAGGGAGTTGATTTCTAATTTTTAAAAATATTAAGAAATATATCATTTTCCCAGATTTTTCATACAGAATTCTTTGGTAAAACTGAAAATTAAAAAATAATATTTAACATGTCATTTTTATTTTAAATGTTGTTTTTACATATTGTCAAGTCATAGCAACTCACAGATGACTCTCCAGTGGGTTTTCAGAGGCAGTAACCAAGACTATTAACCAAGAAGCTGATGGTTTAATCCAACCTATGGGTACCTCAGAATTCAAGCTTGACAAAATATTTCCTAAAAGGCACACTCTTGAACCTCCTATGGAGCAAAGCTACTCACACCAAACTAACAACAACTTTTCAACTAATGGGGGAAAAAACAACTTAAGTTTTTCTGCCTTTCAGTAAATAGTCTGAATTTTAGTCACTCACTAATTTTTCTGCCATCGAGCTAGAACCAACTCATAACATTCTCCAGCAAGTTTCTGAGACTCTAAATCACAGGAAGAGATAGAATATTTTTCTCTCTCAAAAACATGGGCGTATCTAAGGTGTATGTAAAATATCAGAGAAGCATAACTTTTGATTTTACAGCACAATCCCTAGAGACCATATGGCCAGTGTTCTCTAGTCTGAATTTAATCATGCGTTTAACCTTATAATTCATTTATGTATAAAGAGCACATTTACTGAAGATAATATTATTCTTACAACCTTGCAAGTGAAATTAAAATTACTTTGTTTCTTTACAACTCAAGCCTACTAACTCAAAAAGAGCTGTGTTTGAACCACTAACCTTTAGGTAAGCAGTGCAATACATAAAACACTATGCCACTAAAGTTTCTTACTTTTTTTTATCATGTTTGTTGTTGTTGTGTTATGTGAAGTCTACTTAGAATTGACCCATAACTAACCCTCCAGTGGATTTTCAGAGGCCGTAAATTGTATGAGAGATTGCCCATTCTTCTCCAGCAGCAAAACTGGTGGATTCAAACCAGTGCCTTTGGGATTATAGGCCACCAGAGCTCCCTTTATTAAAATGGGAAACAGATTTATTTTGTACAAAGGGAAAAAAGTATTTTTTTTCTTTTTTATGGAGGGTAAATATAAACTTTATTACCAAATGTGTTCACTAAGACTAAATCCTAAATTTACGCAGACTTACATCATGCCTGGAGAAGAAAAGTGTCAGCAAAGGAAAGGAAGATCCTCAACAAGATGTATTGGCACAGTGATTGCATCAGTGGATTTAAGCACAGCTGAGACAGCATAAAAGCATGAAGGGTTTTGTGTTACACACAGTCAATATGAGTCAGAACTGACTCAATGACTCTAAACAACAACCATGTTCTTAAAATCACTGTTGTAGGTGCCAGTGAATTAACTAGAGTTCATAGCCACAATAGGACCAACAGATAAGAGCTTTGCTCTTTCTGGTGACTGTATGATGAGTGTTACAGTGCAGTTACAGCTGTGCAGTTACAGTCACTCATCTCATGAAGGAACTTCTTCTCTTTCTCTGACCTTCTACTTTCTTTCCCAGCATGTTTTTTTCCAAGAACTGATTCTTCTTGATAACATATTTAAAGAATATGAGAATGTTTCACTATCTTTGCCTCAAAAAGCACATTGGTTTGCACTTCCTCCAAGACATTTGTTTGTTCTTTTGGCAGTCCATGGGATATTTGGCACTCTTCCTAACACACAATTCAAAGGTGCTGGTTTTATTTGTGTGTTTGTTTTGAGAGAGCAGGAAGCAAAAGAGAGCCTTCTGGGATGACTAAAGCCAATGGGTTGCCAGTGATAGATTAATAGAACTGGAGGTAAAAGTAACAAATTTCACCTGGGCATGTAACAGCTAAAGAATGATGCTATTTCAGACAAAATAAGTATAAAACTTAAGAAAACAGATTACAAGAGAAGACAGGGTTTCAAGAAAATGGCAGCCAAAAAATAATAATAATACAAAAGTTTTTTTTTAAAAAAAGAAAATGGCAGCCCTAGAGATTTTAAGTAAAGATCAATAATAAGTAATCTAAAGGAGGAATTGCAAAATTCATTTGAGAAACATCTTTATCCTCCCAGAGATTTGGGGAAAGTGGTCAAGGAAAAGAATCACAGAGTAACTAGAAAATGAAAGCACTGTATATCTTTTGTCATCAAAGAAGTAATTTGCGAATCTTCTCTTTCTCTATTGCTGTTGAGTCAGAGCGGACTCAGCTGGCCCTGCACAGTGGATTTTCAGAGGCTGTAAACCGCAAGAGAGGAGATTGCCCATCGTTTTCCCGTGGAACAGCTGGTGGGTATGAACCATCTGCCTGTGTGTTGGCAGTGTGATTCCTTGCTCACTAAACTAGCAGAGCTCCCTTTGAGAATCCTAGTTTGAGATATTAAGTTTCATATTATGGAAATAAAATCAGTTCGCTAGCAGATATAGCAGTGGTAACAGTTCAAACCAACTTCAGGCAACTAACATTTGACTAATGTGGTTTTTCTTCCTATATTAGCTAAAATTTCACTATGCTTATGCGTCTGTGACCTAAGAAGAGAAAAGGAAGAGGACACCTCTAGGCTAGTTTAGCTTTTGAGAGAAGAAAAACGTATTACTACTATTTTATTACTACCATTTTAAAGGGCTTATTTTTTCCTTTAAAAAATTCCTCCTGGTTTATGTCCATTTATCTTCAAGGATGCTGCATAGTAGGTTTAGAGACAGACATGTCGTGGAGAACTTAAAATGTATTCCCCACAGAAGATGATTTAAGAAGTTAAAAGAAAAAAAAAAGAAGTTAAAAGGGAAATTGTATTAGAATACAATTGATCACAGACAAAGAAGATGATGGGCTAACAATAGGTTCTCCATGTGTGAGTAAAAGTAGAATAATGATGAATTTCATAAAGAAAATAAAAATTATCTGAGTCACTGTCTTTGCCAGATTTGTAGGTCTACATTATGCAAAATGTTGGAAGCGACTAAAAGACCATAAAAATAATACCAATTGACATTGAGGGCATTTCACATTTTGGTAATTCTGTGTGTTGCAGAGAACTCTCCTCCCTGAGGTTTTAATGGTTATCTCTTACACAAGCCTGTCAGCAGGTCTTTCTTCTAGAGTCATTTGTTGTTGTTTTTGTTGTTGTTGGTTGCCTTCAAAGCAAGCACAACTCATAGCGATCCTGTGAATAAAAGGCCTGAAGCCCCTCTACAACTATTGACATTTATTAAAGTTCATAGAGTTTCAGGAAGCGTGTTATATAGGAAGTGGCTGTCACGTCACTGATCTATTTGTAATGAAATACAAACCCTTTATCTAACTCAGAACCCCTCGAAACTACTAAAACAAAACAAACAAATAAAAAATCCAAACCCAAACTCATCACTTGCTAAACAATTTTTACTTGTGGCAATTATTTCATCAGGCTTGTGAAACTATAACTTTACCCCAAATATTGAAGTCTTGGTGACAAAAATCTTGGGCTAACATGATTTTTATTATCATTAGATATGTAAGATGCCATCAAATCAACTAGGATTCATAGTCACTCTGTGAGCAACAAATTGAAACCTGGTCCCCCACCTGCTATCCTCACAACCTCCACCATATTCAAGTCCATTATTGCAGTTACTGTGCCAATCCATCTTATTGAAAGTCTTCCTATCTTTTGCTGATTCTCTACCTTTCCAAATGTAATTAGAGATGTTGAAGGTACTGGCAAGTTGAGTACAACCCATAGTAACTCTATGAACAACTGATTTGAACACTGTCCCATCCTGTGCCATCTTACTATCTCTGACATATTCAAGCCTATTGTTGCAGTCACCATTTCAAACCACCTGGTTGCAGATCTTCTTCTCCTTCACCATCCTCCTATCTGAAGCATAATGTCCCACTCTGGTGAATAACCTCTTCTAGCAACATACCCAAAGTATATGAGGTGAAGTTACATCATCTTTACCTCCATAGTGTGTCACATATGTATTGTCTTTTCTTTTAAGTGATGCTGAATCAAACATCAGTCACTGAATTTCTTCTCCTGGGACTGACAGATGTTCAAGAGTTGCGGCCTTTTCTCTTTGTGATTTTCCTCACCATTTACTTTGCCAATATAGCTGGGAATGGAGCTATACTGATGATTGTTATCTCTGACGCAAAACTTCATTCACCTATGTATTTCTTCTTGGGAAATCTATCCTCTCTGGATATCTGCTACTCCACAGTGACACTACCAAAGATGCTGGAAAGCTTTATCTTTCCATACAAAGCCATCTCTTTTGTGGGATGCATGAGCCAGCTTCATTTCTTTCACTTCTTGGGCAGCACAGAGTCCATGCTATTGGCTGTGATGGCCTTTGATCGCTTTATGGCTATTTGCAAACCACTTCATTATACTGTCATCATGAATCATAGGCACTGTGCTCAGATGGCTGCCACAGCATGGACCATTGCATTCTTCCATGCCCTTCTACATTCTATAATGACCTCTTACTTGAACTTTTGTGGTTCCAATCACATCCAACATTTTTACTGCGATATAAAGCCATTGCTGGAGCTGGCCTGCGGGAATACTGAGCTGAATCAGTGGTTACTCAATATCGTTACAGGAGCTATTGCCATGGGCTCTTTTTTTCTCACAATTCTCTCCTATTTCTATATTATCATATACCTCTTCTTCAAGACCCGTTCTTGTAGTATGCTTCACAAAGCACTGTCCACATGTGCCTCTCACTTCATGGTAGTTATTCTTTTCTTTGCTCCTGTTGTCTTCACCTATATTCGTCCTGCCTCAAACAGCTCCATGGACCAGGACCGCATCATTGCCATCATGTACACAGTGGTCACTCCTGTACTAAATCCACTGATATATACTTTGCGGAACAAGGAAGTGAAGAGGGCTTTGGTCAGGGTGGTCAGAAGGAAGCTCTGACTGAAGGAACCTAGAGAATTCTTCTGGGGCACAAATAAATATGTGATACAAAAGTTTGTTTTCATCTTACGTTGCTTCTGTGGTGTTAGTTTAAATGTTGGCTTTTCTAGCCATTACTTTAGCCCTCTTGTTGTATTAGCTCCTTATACAATTGGTGTCAGAAGTGAGATTTATTGTTACAGACTTGGTTTTGTAAATGTGCGGCTTGGGGAGGGGAACTCAAAAAGGTATTTTTTTCTACTATGAAGATGGAAAAGAAAAGTTGAGAAGCTGCTTTATGGCCAGAGACCAGAAAAGTGAAGCCAAGCTGCACTTACTGGTTTAAGATGAAATGTGTTAAATATTATGTGTTTATTTGGATGCTTTGATGGACAATAATAGGGGATTTTCCTATGTCATAATGATGAGATCTAAAATTAATATGAAAGCTATGCAATTTAAGATATATTGTAAAAAATTATTAAGGTTTTTATTCATTTAATTGATACTAGGTTTTGTTACATCAATATATAGATTGTGGAAAGTATGATATTACATATTATAATTCAGTGGAAAAATGTAAGATAGCTACTTTTCTCATTATGTCTTAATCTCCCTGTTTTAGTCAAGTTCTTATTTTTCCAGTCCTATAAAACCAGTACTCCGAAGAAACAAGCACCTTACTTTCTCCAAGGCATCTTCTATTACAGTTAAAACTTTGAGCACCCACATCTATAAACAAAGGTCCAGGCCATAGCAAATCATCAGATAACAATAATCAACACTAACTCATAGAATAAACCATCTTCTCTTCATCTGTTCAGATTCTGGCCAACACATCCACAACCATCTGTGGCTAGGTCCAAATGGGCCTTATTCACTGTTGGTGGGAGTGTAAAATGGTGCAACCACTGTGGGAAGCAGTATGGCGCTTTCTCAAAAAGTTGAAAATAGAGATACCATTTGACCCAGCAATTCCACTACTGGGAATATATCCCAAAGAGACCATAACTGACATCCAAGCAGATATATGCACACCCATGTTTATCACGGCTCTGTTCACAATAGCAAGGAGTTGGAAAAAACTGAGGTGCCCATCAACAAACGAATGTATAGAGAAGCTGTGGTGTATTCACACAACGGAATACTACACTGCATTGAAAAACAAGGAACTCATGTAATATTATTCAAAATGGGTGAGCCTAGAAGAAATTATGCTGAGTGAAATATCTGAGTCGCAAAAGGACAAATATTGCATGGTGCCACTTTTGTAAAATGGGATTGATATCAGGGTTGGGGTAAGACTGAGAAAAACTGGATAAATTGTGTATACTGCACTGAAACATATGAGGGACTGAATAATTTAAAAGCAATGTATGATAGGGTATTACGGGTATCACAAGAGTCCACAATTAAGGTTGCATAGTGGAATGCACTTGGGGGTTTGGGAGGGGTGCGGGGGGATTGTGTACCAGGGAAGGAGTGTTTCTTTTACTTTTGAAAGAGACGAGTGAACTGGGGGGCTGGGGGAGTGCTGGGCAGGGAGAGAAGTGCAGCAATGAATGAATGGAAATCCAAAATCTCTGTAAATGCTCACTAAAATTATTTAAAAAAAATAAAAGTTAAAAAAAGAGACATTATATAAAGCAAATTAATTGACTATCATGTATCGACATTCACTTTTTTTTTTTTACACCCATCCTAACCTCTATACTCCTCACCTTGTCCTTTTGGATCCTCATACATGTTTTACTAGTTATTCTTCTATTTATTTTAATTTTTTTTATTACTCTGATTTATTTACAACGTTTGAATACATTGTTTTTTCACAAAAGATCCTTCCCTTTTCCTTCACCTCACCCACTCATTGAATTTTGCAACTCTATGATTAACACCCTAGTCCCTCATCCTCAACCCTCTATTTCTACAATCCCCCTTCACCTTGGATCCTCATACTCAATCTACAATAACGGGTTTATATAGTATTTGTCCTTATAGGACTAAATTAGTACATTCAGCATAATGTTCTCCTGTCCCTCACAAGTTAGGTAGTAATTTACAAAATAATTGCTCCTGCATACTGCATAGTATTCCAGTGTATGAATGCATCACAACTTCTCAATCCATTCATTTGAGTTTGGACATCTGGGATGTTTCCATGTTCTTGCAATGGTGACTAATGTTGCTGTGAACATTCGTATACAAGTTTCTGTTTAAGCCTCAGTTCTCGTTTTCTTAGGGTATATACAAAACAATGGAACACCAGGGTTTTATGGAATTGACACTCATTTTTACAAACTTCTGAGTTCTGTCATTGTTTGCTGGGGTTGTTTGTTGCTTTTTGTAGGGGAGGGGTTCCTATATTCAGTTCTACCTCTAACCTTTTATTCCGTTTCTGATCATGAGAGGGAGTGTGTGTGGAGAAAGCTCTGAATTGTTCCAGAATTCCAGTACTACATCTTTTCTTCACATATTTGTGTTGAGAATTACACACATGACACAATCTGCATAGACTCTGTGAACTAAGCATTCTGATTACCTGTTGCTGAATTATAAAGTTAAGACCTCAAAATTCTGTGACTTAAACATTTTTTATTAATTAAATTGTATTATTCTAAAGGAAGAGCACGTCTGGGATTGGTTGGCTTTACTCACCAATGTCTGCAGCTGCAAGTCTACACAGCTGAATATTTAATAGGTAGAAACTGAGACTTTTTGTTTATCTTTCTCTGTCACTTTTTATTTCCCTCTTTTCAGACTCTCATTTAGTTACCTTGAGCTTCTTCAGTAAAAAAGTCTCACAGTATGTATTTTTTACTAGTTTATTTACAAAATTTGAATTAATCATAGGGTCACACCATTTGATTGGTAAAGAGAGGGGTGTGTAAAGGAAATGGGAAAGAACCCGTGTGAAAAACTATGTATATGAACTTTGTAAGTAAAACTGTATAAAAATAAAAATTATTTTTAAAAAAAGAATCATAAAGTCATTGTACTACTTCATTCTCACAGCTAGTTTAAGGTAGAAAAAGACTTAACTTGGAGAAAATATATATATACTTATGTGATTTTTGCCTAATACATAGCCTATAATTTCATATTTAAATCCTTTTTAAAATGAATTATACTCATTTGTGTACAATATGATGTTGTTGTTGTTGTTGTTATGAGCTATCTAGTCACCTACGACTCATAGTTACCCTATGTACAACAGCCCTAAACCCTGCTCTATCCTATCCTTATTGTCTCTGACATACTTACCCCATTGCCCGAGTCTCTGAATCAATTCATCTTATTGAGGATCTTCCCTTCTTGTGCTGTCCCTCCACCCTGCCAAGCATGATAACCCTCTCCATGGACTGGTCCAGACTTGTAACATGTGCAAAGTATGTCAGACAAAGCTTCAGAAACCTTGTCTCCAAGGAGCAGCCTGATCTCACCCTCTCTAGGACAAACCTCTTTGTTCTCTTGGCAGTCCATGGTATATTCAATACACTTCTCTAGCACTGCAGCTCAAAAGCATCAATTCTCATTCTGTCATCCCTAGTCATTGTCCAGCTTTCTGATGTGTAGCAAATAATTGCAAAGAGTATGGCCTTGATCAAGCACTGGCATCGTTGTTTTTCAGTACTTTGGAGAGATCTCTGACAGCAGACTTTCTCAATGCAATTCATCTTTTAATTTCCTGGCTGCCGGTACTAAGAGTGTTGATTGTGGAGCCAAGCAAACTAAAGCTGTTAACAACCATAATCTCTTCACTATCTATCATTATGCTACTAATTGGCCCAATGGTAAGAATCTTTGTTTTCTTGATGTTGAGCTTCAATCTATGTTGAAGCTGCAGCCCTTGACTTTCTGCAGCAAGAGCTTGATAGAATCAATTAAAAATTGAAAGATACCTCCATGGTTCTTGTGATATCAAAGGAACATGGTTCAAATCCACCAGTTGTTCTATGACAGAAGGATGTGCAATCTCCTCTCATGCAATTTCATGCCTCTGTAAACTCACTGGAGTGTCATTTATGGGTTGGTTTTAACTCAGTGATGCACAATAACAACTGGGCCCTCAGCTATACATCAGCCAGAATCAGGATGAAACAGCAGCTCAACAGCCATTTCTTATTGGAAATAAAGAATGAACTAGGTCCAGAGGCTGTAGCAAAACATGAAGCATGTGAGAGATAAGGATAGAAATTATGGTCAAAGAAAGTTGGTCTCAGCAGAGAAATTCCAAAAATGGCTTTCTTCTCAGTGTCCAAATAGTGCGCATTATATGAAGCAAAGAAAGTGAAATGTAAATGGCGTGGCCTTGAATCTTGACTTGCTTTATCAAGAGAATGCAATTTTATGGAGCTCTATGATCTGTGGAACTAAGAAAAGTCCTTCAGCTTCCACTTGGGTCTCTTCAAATGCTGATGGCGAACCATCCTGTGTTACATCTGACAAAAAGGGAGTGGTTTGGTTTGGTATATTAGATTAGGTAATATTTAATAATAATAAAATTTAATTAATCAAGTACTAATTTGAACTTTCACTATGTCTGCAATGGGATTGTTATATAACATTGACTTAGATCTGGCACACTTAAGTCTTTAAACTGACATCTTTGCTCCTTAGCACTCTAGAGAGGTACTTACTTCCTTACTGCAACATGTATTTTGTGTTCTTAACTGCAACTACTATAAGTTTTGATTCTGGATACAACTAAAGTAAAATCATTGACAATTTCAATCATTTTCCCATCTAATACGATGTTGCTGTTGCTCCCATGATGAGCATTTCTGTTTTCTTGATATAGATTTGTAATCAATGTTAAAATCTATTGTCTTTGATCTTCTGCACCAAGTGCTTCAAGTCTTACTCAACACCAGAAAGCTTTAAAGTAATAAATTATTTACCTAAACATGTGTTAATTTGGCAATTGTTAATTGAATATATAGAAAAAAGGAAATAAATCTTTTTGACGGCATGTTCTTACATGTAAATAACAAGGTTCAATATTTCTCAACAAATGTTAAGATGAACACAATTAGTCTAAGATTCCTAGTAACTAAGTGTGATCATTAACTTAGTAGAAAAATGCTGCATTGAAAAATCCATGTAATTACAAGTTTTGGTCTCAGGGTATTTACAAGGAACCCCAAGTGCCTAAAGCATACAGGGACCTCTCTGCCCAAGTCAAAGGAGCATCATAGCTTAACCTCCAATGATTAAAAGAAGATTAAAATGGTCTTGTTCTTCTTCTCTCCAAAGATCAAATTGTAGTTACTCACACTGACAATTTCTTCCAAAATTTAGGGTGAAAGATCCTAGATATGCTCTGCTGGGAGTTTGTTCTTCTTGTTGTTTTAACTCTAAAATGAGCACACCTCTGTTCTTTGTTCTGAGGAACAATTGGAAAGGGCATCCTTTGAGGTCAGAATAATAATCCTTTAAACCATCTATCTATAAATAATGTTGTTTGCTTTGTGCCCTTATATTCTTCATGTTTTAACTGCACTTGTTTTTATCTGTTCATGTTTACATATAGTATGTGCAGTCTATGGAATTTTATTTAAATCATAATGTTGATCATTATTTTTCTTAAAAATGCTTCAAAATAAAAAAAATGCTTCAGAATCGTAATTTTAGAAGCCATGTTCATATTATTGAGGCATTAAAGGTTTACTGTTTAAAGTGGCTTTCCTAGGCATTGATGGATGGCAGGAATATGTGAATAGGTAGTGTTAGCCTATCCACAAGGAAATTGGCTAGTCTTATCACTAAATTGAGAAAAATTAGCAGCAGATTTTAAAAATGTTACCACCAGCAAAGAAGAAACAAGAGAATGCTTTATGTCCTTCAGAGCCATTTTAGATAGCCAATTTCTGAATTGCCTCATCCTATCAAATCATTATCCTGAAGAAACAAGCACGTCTTTTTATCTTATTTTTCTTAATCTTCTATTATAATTGAAACTTTGAGCACCTGCATCTATAAACATAGGTCTAGACCAGAGCAAACAATCAGGTAACAGTAATCAACACTAGCTTTCAGAATGAAACATCTTCTCTTCATCTGGTTGGTGTCTGGTCAACACAACTCCATCCATCTGTGGCTAGGTCCAAATGGACATCAACCACAAACTCAGACAGCACACTTCTTTCTGTTTCAGATCATCCAGTCCCTTCACTCAACCTTAGACCTTTGAGGTCAGAATATTAATCCTTTAAACCATCTATCTATAAATAATGTTGTGTGCTTTGTGGCCTTATGTTCTTCATTTTTTAACTTTATCTATACATATTTGCATAGAGTATATATATGGTCTATAGAAATTTTATCTAAATCATAATATTGATCACTATTTTTATTAAAAATGCTTCAGAATCATAATTTTAGAAGCCATGTTAATATTATTGTGGTGTTAAAGCTTTACTGTTTAAAATGGCTTTCCTAGCCATTGAGCATGACTTTGCCACATGGATGGCAGGAATATGTGACTAGGGAGTGTTGGCCTATCCACAAGGGAGTTGGCTCATCTCATCACTAAGTTGAACAAAATTAGCAGCAGATTTTAAGAATGTTACCACCAGCAAAGAAGAAGCAAGAGAATACTTTATGTCCTTCAGAGCCAAAGATTCTTGTGCCAACCAGACCAGGCCTAAGGGAGTATCAGCCTTATCAGGCAGCAGCAGAAAACCAGAGACCTGAGGCCGAGCTGCCCTTGGAATGGCTACACCACAGAACCAACGCTAAGAGCCTTTAGCCCAAGTTTGCCGGAGGACCGTGAGCTAGGGGAGAGTCATAATTGGCAAAACTAAGATACTAATGTCATGAAGATGAAAACTGAGGTGCCTGTGAGCAGATTGTGGAAGCTATCCTGAGTGGTTGTATTCTGCTATTAATCTGAATTATAGCATTTTGACTTCCCTAATATGGTTCTTTATGGTGTTATCAAAACAGATTTTGGACCTGGGAAAGCAGTAATATTAGTGTTGTGTAGAAAGAGGTGCAGAAATGTGTTTGACATGTCTGATCTCATGGCAATTGGTTTTGTGGTATTGATATTTATTTGACAGTTTCCTCTTGTAGCATTGGAAGAAGTGAAATATGGTCGTCTCCATGTGGTCCTGGCTCTTTCTTACAATTTTTATGTAAGTAATTCAATAATATATAATTTGAGCCTTATAAATCTGTCCCTTTTTTGCACTACTGTAATAATACCAATTAAGCAATTCTTTATTCACATTAATTTAAAATTTTAGCATAAATGTAATTTATTAAAGAATGAACTGCTTTAATATTTCTGCTCAATAAGCTCTTTGTAGGAAGTATATAAAAATTTGAGAATTTTAGTTTCAAGTTTACATCTTTGTCTTACTTCATTCTCAATAGCTATGAATATTTTTTTAATCTTTGCAAATTTGGTCAGTACAAATATTCCTTCATAGTTTCTTTAAATTTTATATTATCCAATTATGCAAAACATTGTTTTATGTATTTATTAGATACTTTACTATTCTTGAGAAAGTTATTCTGTACTTAAAAAGGTAGCATTTTTCAGGTCAATTTATACCATATCATTAGGTGAGTGTAATGGTTTTTGGTATATCATAATAGCTGTATAGATAGTATCCATATACAGTGTGCTCTAAATTTTATTCACTTTTCCAATGAATGTTTAGAAAAATGAATTTTTTTCTCATATATTATTTTACACAGGGTAGAGCAGGGGTTAGGGCTGTTGTACATAGGGTTGCTATGAGTCTCAGCTGTCTTGATGGCACATAACAACATTATTTTACATGAAGTAAAATAATAAAATTGCAATAACAGAGCCAGTCTGGTGTTGGGATGCATGCATAAAGATTAATGGGAAGGAATAAGTACCTTAGAAACTACTTAATAAGTACACACATGTGTAAACTCAATTAAATTCACTGTATGTAAAATGCTAATGGTTTATATGACCCTTTAAAGATCTCTGCTTGCATAGTAGTTAAGTATTCAGCTGCTGTCAAAAAGGTCAGTGGTTCAAATCCGTATCATTCTACAGAGAAAAAAACAGTAACAATTGATTTCTATAAGATTTACACTCTTAGAAATACTATAAGACAGTTCTACTCTAACATATAGAGTCTCTGTGAGTAAAATTCAACTCTAAACAGCAGAGGACTTACAATATAGATACAGATATAGACTTCTTCTTGTTGTTGTTATATGCTATCGAGTAGGAACTAACTTATACTTGACCCTTCAGTAGGTTTTCAGTGGCTCTAAGTCACACAGGAACAGATTGCTTATCTTTTTCCTGCACAGCAGGTGCTGGATTCAAACAAGCCTGTCATTGGGTTGACACTGCAATTCCTTACTGCTAAGCCATCAAAACTACATATGTGTGTGTGTGTGTGTGTGTGTGTATTTATGTATGTGTATTTGTATGTGTAAACACACACAAAACCCAAACTCACTGCCATCAATTCATAGCGACTTCGAAGTTTTGAGGCTGTAAGGCCGTAAGTTGTAACTGAAACAAACTGTTAATATTTTTCTTATGGAGCAGCCGGCCAATTGGAATTGCTGATATTTCAGTTAACAACCTAGAATTCACTATGCCAAGAGGGACGTGTAGCTATATTGATAAATATTTTATTTATAGCATATATAGGTAGATAACTATTTCTATATAGAGGTAGATACCTATATAGCTCATAAATTAAATTACCTTTCTATTCTTGGCAGAAGTGTTGGGTTTCTAATTGGTGGCTGACAGTCCAAATCCACCCAGTAAAAAGGTGTAAGAAATACAGAGGAAAATGTGGCCACTTGTAAAAGTGTATAACCTCCCAAATGCAGTGTGATAAGGTGGAGTTAGGGTGAAGTGGAATACCAACAATGGTAGGTTTGGTTGCACGTTTTTGCCTGAAATGGATTGCATGAGAATGTATATTTTACCTTGTCTACTAATACGTTTTATGAACGAGTCAATGTCTTTGAAAATGGTTCAACAAAATTATCAGTGCAGTGATTAAAACCACCTCCCACTGCAATGTCTAATTGATGATCATAACCTCAAAAATGCAATTCACTGATTATTGTTGTTAGGTGCTGTCGAGTCAAGTACAACTCATAACTATCCTACGAACAGCGGATCTGAACCCTCTCCTATCCTGTGCCATCTTCACAATTCCTGACATACTAGAGCCCATTGCAGCAGTCACCATGTCAATGTACCTGATCAGAGGTCTTCCTCTCCTTTGCTGATCCACCATCCTTCCAAGCATCATGTCCCTCTCCAAGGAATAGACCATCCTAGCAACATGCCTGAAGTATATGAGGTGGGGCCGCATCATCTTGCCTCCAACAAAGCACTCCAGCTGTGCCCTCTCCATGAGAAAGAGGCTTTAAAAATATGTATTTGTTCTTTTAGCAGTCCATGTAATATTCAGTGCTCTTCTACAACACTACACTCAAATTTACTGATCAAGCGGATTCAACTGGTAAATAATAAAACTTTCAGTTTATGTCCATCTTGTTTTACAAGTAGTATCCTTCGAAATTGAAAAAGAATATGGTTAATTTCACTACAAACACTGGATTTCTTCTCGTGAGTTTTTCTGGAAATCCTGAGATAGAAATCTTACAAGCTTCTTTGTTTTTAGTTCTGTACATAGTAGCCTTAATTGGAAATATTCTCATTATCACAGCAACTTCTATAGATCACAGTCTCAACTCACCTATGTATTTCTTCCTGAAACACCTTTCCTGCTTGGATCTTTGCTATATTACTGTAACTGTACCAAGATCCATTTTCAACTCTTTAATGCATACTGGAACTGTTTCCCTCTGGGAGTGCATATTGCAGTGCTTTGCATTCACTGCCTGTGTTTCTGTTGAGGTGGCCATACTCACAGTGGTGTCTTATGACCGCTATGTGGCCATCTGCTTTCCACTGCGCTATGAAATCATCATGAATGTCAGCACCTGTGTTTATGGAGTCTTAGCAGTCTGGATCAGTGGAATCCTTGCTGGAGTCATGCACACAGCTGCTACTTTCTCCATCCGCTTCTGTGGTCCCAAAATCATTCACCAGTTCTTCTGTGATGTCCCTCAGCTCCTAAAACTCTCTTGTTCCAATGACTACACTGGTGAGCTGGGGATCATTGCTTTCCTGGCCTTGGTAGCGTTTGTTTGCTTCATCTTTATTGGTTTCTCTTACACACACATTTTCTCTTCTGTGCTGAGGATCCCATCTGCTAAAGGGAGAACCAAAGCTTTTTCTACCTGCTTACCCCACTTATGTGTCGTCACATTATTTTTCTCAACTGCAGTTTTTGAGTTTCTAAAGCCACACTCTGATTCTCCAACTGTACTGGACTTTTTGCTTACTGTTCTTTATGCTGTTGTGCCCCCAACACTCAATCCAATGATTTATAGCCTAAGAAACAAAGTCATGAAGGCAGCTCTAAGAAAAGTTTTTAAAGACAGCAAAGTTTGCCTCTTTTTTCTGAAATAAATCTATTTGTCCTGGTTGGAAAACAAATTCAAAATATATTGGAAAAACATAACAATATCAACCAAGAAAGTAAAGCTATATAATTAATAAACAAGAATTATAGTAAAAATTAACTTTCACTGGGTAATAAAAATATTTAAACTAATAATTACACATTAATTAATAATTTTAATACTCAAACTCATGGTTTTCAAATAGGAACTATTTTATAGATGACCCTCCAGGAAGCTTTACAAGGCTATAAAACTCACAGGAAAAGATTGCTTATCTTTCTCTAGATTTGAATAATATGGTCTTTGAGTTGGCAGCTCAACTCAGTCCTAACTACAGATTATACCAACAGAGATCTACTTTAAAACAATAGATTTAACTTTAACACTATAAAATCAGGTGTTGAAAACTCTAAAATTTCATGGATTTATAGCCTTTATTCTGGAATAACAGAATTTTTATAAAGCCTTTGGGGAAAAAAAGATTTTTCTTTGAGACATTAAAGAGTCAGAGGTAATTAATGAGAAGTTACCTAATAATCCTTTAGCTGTACAATCTCACATACAAAGAAATACAAATTTCTAGTGTTCTTATACAATTTTAACAAGACCCTGTTCACAATGGCATGCCCTTCATAGCCTTTAGTGTACTCATCTCTGAGAAAATTATTTCTACATGGTGAAAAAAAAATCAATTGGTCTTATTTGTTCTTATAAAGTTAATAGCAGAGTATTTATCAGAAGCCTCAGATCAGCATAATCCCAAATGCTTAACCAGCTGTATAAATCATAATTCCTATTAACAGCTCCAACTGTAGTTCAGTTCCCCAGTTCTTCTATGACCTTTGGTTTCAGTGATTCACTAGAAGGTCCTCCCGAGACTCAGACCCATTAAGGGTAATGACTTATATGACTGTAGGTATGCAGGCCAGTTTTTTGTGTTTTTAGAGACTGGTGAGCAATGAGCCAGGTTGGATGTATTTGGATGTTTAGTCCATAGTGAATGATTTTTCAGTCTAGATAACTTATCCTCCAGCAGGCTTAGACTAAATTAAAACAGTCATGCTGCTATTTCTGTGTTGATGTTTTCACACATCCCATAATATGATTCCATAATGCTCTTATATTGATCCCACAGCTTTTGATTATTTCCAAGAGTATGTGTCCAAAGTTAAGGTAGCTGGAGATCATTCCTCCAGTGAGGGCTAACACAATGGCTATAAAAGGCAATTTTTAAGGTTTCTGACACCCCAGGCCACTCTCTGGTTTTTCTAGCAATTATCTATTTTTATCTGGAGTAGCAACTACTATCTATATTCATGGAACTATGTAAACCAGCTGTTTCACTCCTTAAGTCTTAATCCCTCCATTTTAGATAGCCAATTTCTGAATTGACTCATCCTATCAAACAATTATCCTGAAGAAACAAGCATGTCTTTTTATCTTATTTTTCTTAATCTTCTATTATAATTGAAACTTTGAGCACCTGCATCTATAGAAATAGGTCTAGACCAGAGCAAACAATCAGGTAACAGTAATCAACACTAGCTTTCAGAATGAAGCATCTTCTCTTCATCTGGTTGGTGTCTGGTCAACACAACTCCATCCATCTGTGGCTAGGTCCAAATGGACATCAGCCACAAACTCAGACAGCACACTTCTTTCTGTTTCAGATCATCCAGTCGCTTCACTCAACCTTAGCCCCAAATGGGCTAAGTCAACAAACCAGTAACCCTTTATCATTTATACATTCATCAAGCTAGGTGGACAGTGCTGAAGAAGCATGCCCAAACTCAGCGGGTCTAGTCATTCTGTGCATTTCCCACTTCCTCTTATCAAGTGGACCCTGGTGTCACCATGAGTTCAACACACTCTCCAGTTGCCTTAACACTGATGCCTGGAGAGAGAGCTTTGATAGGCAACAGCTGTACCTTGCCTCAGTTTATGGGCAAAGTCTTTTCCTACTCGTCTTCTTTCAAATGTACCTCTCTTCAGAGTACTGAGTAGGGTTTAATCTTTCTTAGGCTAAGCTCCACACTCTATACCAAATTCTACTATTTACTACAAACATTGTTTTGGGCAAATATTCCCTTTTTGAACATCCAATTCATATCCAGTTGGTTTACATTTTTTCCTCTAAATTACAATCTATCTCATCATTATAAAATCCAGTATAGCTAAACCAACAAAAATCTGAATCCCTTTTACAATGTATCTTAGCATTATGACGTAAAAGGGACAGCATTATCTATCAGATACTTCCAAATAAACACATTTCATCTAAAACCATTCAGTATATCTTGGTTCTGCTTTTCTGATCACTGGCATTTAGATGGAGAAAGTTATTTCCTTGCTCTGAGTCTCTTCCAGGATATTAATGTAATGTTAGATTTTCCTCACTGTATGACCCATTTGTTCATTCCTTTACCCTCAACTATTATTTCTCCTGCCTCCCCTTTATCATTTCTTTTTACCCAAACTTTTCTCCCTTGGGAAAGGACATTAGAGTCAGGCATTTTTTCAAACCAAATTGCAGGTAATAAAACCAATCTAGCAAAGTTCCTCACCTTTGATCTATCCCCAGTCATATTGGGTAGGGTTGCATAAAGCCGCTAGACAAAACAATAGTATACACTGTTACAGTCCATCCCAACAGACCTTTGGGAATTCTTGCATACAAGTTTCAGGGTATTGTCACAGGAATTACTTCCGCTTTTGGTACCCATAGCTGCATTCCTGGACCTGGGATTGCAGCATTTGTTAAGAAGAAAATCATTTCAGGTGATGTGGAGTAAAATTGTATAATAGCATCAGCATCTTTCCCTGCTATTTATTCTCCAGATATACTTGGAAAAGGTGGAAATCTGGCCAATGGTGAACTGAGCCTTTGACTCCTCTCATACTAAGTCTCTTAAGTACACTCTGTTGAAGGCGTTTGAGCCAGCCATTCATATCCTTATTTCCCCTTATTTAAGATAACAAATATTTCAAGTGCCCATTCCAATTCTCTATAAGACCATTACTCTGAGCGTGGTAGCAACATGGTATGTCCATTTAATATTATGTATATTGTCCCACTGCTGCACTCTGTAGGCTGTGAAAAAAAATAGATGAAACCTAAAATTAATTATTGAGAAGTCTTTCTTTTTCTACCATATGGCCTCTTGGCTCAGGAGTCTTGAGTTTGTTCTATTTTGATTATTTTTTTATTATTATATAGGCTATGATTGTGCTCATGCAAAACCTATTCTTGGACCAAGAAAGAGTTGTCAGGATAGAGCAAGATAACACTATATAGTTCAAAATCAGAAAAAGAGTGCATCAAGAATGCATCCTGTCTCCATACCTTTTCAATCTATCTGTGGAACAGATCGTTCAGGAGGCTGGACTTTATCTAGAAGAATGTGGAATCAGGATTGGAGGAAGACTCATTAACAACCTGTGATATGCAGATGACACAACCTTGCTTGCTGAAACTAAGGACCTGAAGTGTTTGTTGCAGAAAATCAAGGACTGTAGCTATCAATAAGGACTGAGTCTCAACATCAAGAAGACAAAGATTCTCACCACTGGGCCAACTGGCAGCACCACAATAGATGGAGGGAAGATTGAAGTTGTTAAACAATTTCAGCTTGATGGCTCTACAATCAACATGCAGCAGTCATCATTCCCTCACTTACCTCACAAACAGCGGGGAGACAAGATAAAAACTGATGTGCCGGAAAGAAGATACAAATAGTCATCAGAATGCAGAACAGAGTGAAGATTCTGAAGATTACAGAGGATAACTGACCTTAGAGAGGGGCCTGAGAGGATGAGAAAAACTCGGGCGTGTAGAGATGCACTGGAAAAGGGACATGGCTATCAAAGACATGTGGGAAGTTTTGGGGTGCATAAGAAAAAACCCAGAGTGATGCCATTTGGAGTCATGAGGAGATTTACTGGAGACACGAGAGAATATAAAGACGGATTGAAGGAAGAGAGTTCCTGGAATGTTAAAAAAAAAACAAAACAACATGCAGCAGTCAAAAACCAAAAGACAAATTGCTCCAGGGAAAGCTGCTGTCAGGGAGCACTTCAAAGAGCTAATGAGTAATGATTTCAGTCTAGGAACTGAGGTGCACCTGATCCATGCCATGGCCTTTGCAAGTACTTGCTTGCTATACCTCTCCAAAATACTCAAGAGTAACAGTGTCTCTCTGGAGACTAAGGTGCACGTGATACAGGCCATGGTTTTTGCAATCACTTGTTATGCATCAGAGAGTTGGACAATGAATAGGGAGGATAGAAGGACAATTGACGCCTTTGAGCTGTGGTGCTGGAGAAGAGTATTGAATGTACCATGGACTGCCAAGAAAACAAACAGATTCATCGTAGAGAGGATTAAACCAGGCTGCTCCTTGGAGGCAAAGATTCTGGGGCTTCGTCTGGCATACTTTGGACATGTAAGGAGAGACAGGTCTTTAGAGAGGGACATCATGATGGGTAGAGTAGAAGGACAGCGCAGGAGGGGAAGACCCTCTATGAGGTGGATTGATTCAGTGACTGGGGTACTCGGGATGGGTGTGTCAGAGGCAATGAGATTGGCACAGGATAGAGCACCGTTTAGGGCTGTTGTACATAGGGTCGCTATGAGTCGCAAGCGACTCGACGGCACATAACAACAACAACAACATACATCAGAGAACTAGAAAATAACTAAGGATGACAGAAGAAGAATTGGTGCCTTTGTGTTGGTGAAAAGTATTGAACAAACCATGAACTGCCAAGAGAACAGAGAGGTTTGTCATGGAGATGGTGAAAACAAGTTGCTCCTTGGAGGCAAGGATTTTGAAGCTCTATATCATATATGTTGGGCATGTGGCCAGGAGGGACCAGTCCTTGGAAAAGAACATCATGCATGGAAGGGTGGAGGGATAGAGCAAGAGAGGAAGCCCCTGGATGAAATAGGTTGAGTGTTGGAGTCAGGGAGAGTGGCTCCGGAGAGGGCAGAATTCAGAGCTATTGTAC